CACACACACACACACACACACACACACACACACACACACACACACGGCAGAGGCCAAACTCCAAGCCTTCTATTAACAGCAAGCAAGCCAGCCTTTGGCACATTCCTTCTACCCTGGCAAGCCCCTGTATAAGCACATGCTATGCTACCTACCTGTACAGGCACATGCTATGCTACCTACTCAGAGAAAAGGCCCGCCCACCCCCCACCCCCGGTTATGGCTCTTCAACCCTACAGAGTAAGAGGGTGACCACGTAGCCCTGTCCCCCACCCCCATCCGGAAGAGCCAGTCTAGGCCCAAGCAGTCACCTGGCCAGAGTACCTGAGCGGTTACAGGGAAGACTAAGCCTGCCGAGAGAAGGCAGTTAGATGCCACTCCACCCAGAGGTCGAGCTCGCCTACAGCCTCAGGGCAGCCAGGGGGCACACCCCATCAGACAGCTGTTTCGGGGAGAGCTGCTCAAACAGCCCTGGCAGGTAAAGCAAACACTTAGGGGGTTAATAGGTAACTACGAGGCAGAAAGAGGAACAGCCTGGCACCCCTCTCTTTGGCTTTGCTGGAATTTATGAGTGCTCACTCCAGGTGGCCAAACTGTCACCCCAGCACCTGGAGAAGGAGGGCCCACATCTCACTCACGGGCAGCTGTAAAGCCCCAAGATCCCTGAAGGACCACAGAGGGCTGGATCCGCCAGCACCAAGAATGAAGGGTCCAGAGACCACTGGGGTCCCCATCCCAGGACCCCCTCCTCTCTTTCTCCCTTGTCCTCTCTGCAGTCCTTTCTGTCCCGACTCACCTTGATCGCAGAATAGGCCTCCCCAGCCTTCCTCACAGGTGCATTGCCAGGGTATGCTGCAGGTGCCATGGCGACAGCCATTGTGGGGGATACATTCGTCACAGAGGCGGCCCTGCCAGCCTGGGCGGCAGCTGACAAATGGAAAGAAGGTTAACCATGAAGTGAGAGGCCAGGCCGGAGGCAGGCTCTGCACCACCACTCTCCAACCCCTACTCACAGGCACTCGGTGGGCTTGGTACAGTAGCCATTCTGCTCACTGCAGCCCGAAAGACAGATCGCTATGGAAAGAAAGCGGGAGGTCAGGGCAGATGCCAGACCTTTGAGGGCCTGCTCCCCTCTCCTGGTCCTGCGGTGTCCCCAGCACTCCTGGGCTCCCACCCCACATCTGGCCTCCCAAAGGAGCCATGGGCCACTGAAAGGAAGGTGGACTCAAGTCTGGGTGAAATGCAGCAACGTGGGTATCCCTATGGGCGGGGGCAGGATTGGGAGGAGTATGGCCAGAGAGAGGAGGTCTGGGCTCAAGCCCATTGTAAGCATCCCCAGGGGCCCCTGAGGCCCAGCTAATGGGCAGCCCAGACCTGCTCTGTGAAGGAGCAGGTTGTGGCCCAAAAGATGCCAGCCTGTTTGTTCAGGCGACTCCCACCACCCCCACCAAGCAGAGAGAGGCCAGGCCACTCACGCTGATCGCAGTAAGTTCCAGTCCAGCCGGGCAGGCAGGACAGGTTGCCATCTGGCTGACACACGTAGTGGCCGAAGTGGTCGTTACGCTTCTTGCACAGGCGCGAGCAGTTGTCCCCATAGTAGTTGTCACTGCAGATGACCCGGTAAGAATAGCGCAGCCGTGTGAGCAGGCTGGTCTGCTGATCCGGCCACCACTTCTCGCCCACCGGTAGGGATTTCTGGATGGTGACTCTGCTGATGAGTGCGTCTGCTGGCAAGGCCTCTGAGGGAGGCAGAGGGCCAGGTCAGGGAAGTGGAGCCCGTCCCCAAGTCCCCAAGGCCGGTGCCCCTCTTAGCTGGGCTGTGGTCATCTGCTGCCTGGTGAGACTCCACATGCTGGGCAGGCCCAGGCCACAAGAACTGAAGGGTCCCCTTGCTCAACTGCCCTGTGTGTGTGTGTGCATGCCTGTGTATGGGGACCTGGTGCCATTCAAAAAGGGACAATAGAAGGATGTTAAGATAGCCCAGTACTGTGGGGGATGAAAGGGCGGGGGAAGAAAAGAGATCAAAATGAAGAAAAAATTTTTTAAATCCTCTCCAGGCCTCAAAGGGAGCCCCCTGACTCAAGAGGGTCTGTTGGGTCCCATCCAAAGGTTCTCCCCCCAGAGGTGGGTAATGGTATTCTTTTTCCTTTTCAAAGTGAGAATTGTTGTGCTGCTGAAATATCCTTTTCCTCTGTGTCAGAACAACATCCCAAAGCCATTATTCCCTATCCAAAGGAGCGGAATTCGCGAAAGGTGTAAAATACAGGAAGGGGCCCGTCAGCGGCGCTGGCAGCTTCGGCCTTTCTCACCGCCGTGCTCCCCGCGTTCCCACGCCAAAAATAACCCGCAGGAAACGCAATTGTGCTCGAGTCCAGGCAGCGGACGGAATCTGAGCGTCCAGCACTGGGCGCAGCTCCCGCCCGCGCTGAGCCGGGCCCAGCGTCCGAGCCCCCACCTCCCGCGCCGCACTGCCCCCGCCTCCCACGGGTTTAACTCTTTCGGCGCTGCGCCGTGTCGCCCCCCTGTGGCGGCGGATAGAGCGACTCACCTGGCCGCAGGTCGTCTCCAGGCGCGTGCCAAGCTTCGATGATGAGCGAGAAGGTTCCCTGGGAGGCGAAGGAGGGGGTGGGGTGGAGAGATAGGGAGGGGAGCAAGGCGGGCGAGGCGGGGAGAAAGATGGGCAGCCGGTTTAATTAACTTAATTGCAGGATACAATTACTGAGCCCCGGTCAACATAACGGGTCTTCGTGCAGTGCAACGCAGCGCACGCGCTAGCAGGGAAGGCAAGTGGAGACTCCCGGGCAGGGGCGGGTGGAGGGGAGTGTACGTGAGAGCTTTTTGGTGGGAGGTGGTGAAGACCGCGCTGGAGTGGTGGGTGATGAAAATCATATCCCAAGAGCTGGGAGAAGGGAGGGTGTAAAACTGGGAAGAGGCAGACACTGGAGTGGGTGAAAGCCTTCTCCGGGATGGGGTTCGAGGGAGTCAGGAAGAAAGGATCGGGAGACGGTGCACTCCTGGGGCTTGGGGAGGTGTCGAGGGCATTTGGGGTAAGGGTTTTGGTCCCCGGGCATCCCCTTCTCTTGGCTTCCGTGACTCCCAGAGCGCCCAGGCTGTGCTTACCGGCCAGGTGAAATTGAAAGGTAGTTGGAGAAGGTTGCGCCCCCCTCCGCTGCTGTTGTCCCCGAAGGCGAAGGAGTTGGTGCCCAACACGGGCGTGGAGACTCTGCCGAAGGTGCAGGACCCGGGCGAGACGACCGTTTGGAAGTGCTTGAGGCAGACACGGAAGAAGGTCCGGCAGTGGGGCTCACACGACAGTCCGCTGGCCAGGACGCCGCGCTCGTTGACGAACTCCTGCAGCTGCAGCTGGAAGACGCCGGAGCCAGCTGCGAGCTATCGCCCGGGACAGGGACAAGGAGAGAGGGAAGGGTCAGCTTGGCGGACACCCGGGCTAGGGGTCTCCCACTCCGGGCGCGACGGGAAAAGGACGCGGGACTTTACCTGCTGCCAAAGTGCCACCAGCAGCAGCAGGGTCCAGCCCGAGGCGCTCTGGGTCGGGGCGGCCATCCTCAGGGGCATCGCTCTTCCCAGCCGCAGCCCCAAGAAAAGCTCTGTTCTGGACGCCGCTTTCCCGTCCGTCCGTCCGTCCGGTCCGCGGAGGAGTCCTCCGAAAAGTCGGACTCCTCTAGGCCGCCGCTCCAGCCCTTGGCGCCTTCTCGTTAGCTCCCGGCCAGCTGCCGCCCCAAGTAATCCAGGTGAGGGCGGCTGGGCGGCGGCCGCGCTAAGGGCGTGCCCTCCGGCTAATCCTGGGACTGCGAGCGGACCGGTGCCTCGGCCACACACAGTGCACTGAGATCGCTTGGCTGCGGCTCTCAGCTTCTGGTCCCCGGCCTTCGGCAGCGCTGCTACTGAAACCTGCGCGCTCGGGAGCCTCGCTTATATATATTGGCTCCACTCCTCGCCGCCTGTCACTCAGACTCCTGGTCACTCTCCCCTCCCCTCCAGGCCTC